TTATATTACTCTTGCTTTTTTTGCAAGTAATCCAAACCTACAAACATCCCTTTATACAAACACACGCTGATGAGGGAAAGGGGAAGCGGTAGGTATATTTATTTACTTGGGATCGGATCGGTGTAGGTATTTGCTTAAAAGGTTAAAAAATTCTTCGTTTTCCTTAAACATTATCTTTTATACATAAAAAGTTAAAATGACTTACGTATGTACATATCGGAAAATAACCTTCCTTTTTGAACTCGCTTAATAGGTACGATCTCTTTCGAAAATATCTACTGGTAGGTTGGCTTTACGTAGCAGTTATCAAAAGATTGCAAGGTTAGCGAAGTAGTGAAAGGACCAAAGAAGACCAAAGAAACAAGAAGAACACTTCCCTACAAGTGGTATCATATCGTATGGTAGCTACATTTCCATTACTCAGAAACACACTTTAGTTTTTTTGATATGTTGCCTCACCCTGTTTACTTGTTAATTGTTCCACAAATTAAAATAAACCTGTAACATTATCAACATCATCATCATGAGCCTACTAAAAGTACTCACTGCTGAATAAAGGCCACTTCTCATATCGAGAAGGTTTGAGCATAAAATACCGCGATTTCTCAAGGTGGATTGGCTAAAGCGAAATTATAATTAGGTTTAGTTACCCTCGCGCTGTTTTCGTTTACCGTAACTGAAATACATATTAAATTAATATTAATTTATGTCTGTATAGAAGCTAGATACACATCAAAGGCAAAATGTAACATTATCTTACAGTACAACATTATAACAGCACGGAACAGACTGCTTTGCGGTGTGGCAGCCTTGGCAGACACGCAGATATGGTCTGGTTCAAGCGAACATGGCAGGCTATTTCATTGCTAATTGTTCGTGCCATATGGCCAGACATTGCTTGTATCTATAATACCTACTTTATAGAATCCGATATGGTTACGTACAATTAAAACCTAGAGTAACGGAATTTAAATTATTGATCATAAGTAAATTAGTAGGCCATAAGTATATCTATACATATTTATGATTTCAAATTCTGAAAATTCTAAAATTATAAATTTATTTCTTTTTAACATAGGTATTCGTCGTATGATTTTGTTCCAACCAAAGTGCCGCGTCGAGTGGCCTACGAAACAATGATGCTTTTTTAGAGGGGGAGGGATCATCTAGGCTCTTCTTTCGCCCAGAGTAAGGCGAAAAGGAGTGTCAGACTCTTACGGGCTAAAAACCACTCTGTTTCTCTTCCTACTCTAGGCCTAGGCTGCGGTACCATAATGCGCTTGCTCCGCAATCTTACGACTGAACATCGCCTATGTTGGAGCCCGTCTGTGGTGATTAACTGGCTCTTTTGAGGTGGCCTCGAACGCTACGCTTGGGTCTGGTTCTGGTCGAACGGCGAGCTACCCTTGCTCATAAGCCGCGGACTGAAGCCAAGTACTACAATCAGTACAGGAGCAGTTCAGTAAATTTTACTCAAGCTTATCATGATTTCATATCAATTATGAAGATTTATACTTAAAACAAATCGCAACTTAATATCGTTTAGGTATGATAAACCACAAATTAATGAAATTTGTTTGTAAATCCATTACGTACAGATTGCAGTAATGTAAGTGGAATAGCTGGTGGCGACCAATAATTTGGTTAACCAATCGCTTTGGTTCACATGTCAACTAACCACAGCGTACATTGTTCAAACAATAACGGCACCTATCTAGTGCAACAATGCAAAAATTATAATATCATTTATAAAGTAATTCTTAATTAAGTAGCCTACTTTAGTATAGGAACTGTATAGTTTTTTTAATAGATTTTGGGGACTACGACAAAGTTCTTTCCAAGAAGGTCCAATTTTTTCCCTCCCCCTACCTCACCTATCCCTAAATTCCCAAAAGACAACGCACTCGTAATTCCTGTGGTGTTGCGGGTATCCATTGGCGACGCCGATTGCTTACATCAGGCAATCCATTTGTAAGTAGGTACGTCCTTATGCCGTCCATACTAAAAATAACATTATAGATTTTAACGACTACGACATAATTTACAAAGATTTGCAGCTTGATGAGTTGTGCACTCAATATAACATCAGGACACGGGTCGGTAGCTAATACCTAGTTAACTTTTGTCATTTGATATATTCATCCTTAGCGGTCTGATCTCTACAGTATTATGTTATTGGGTCAAAGTCAAGCTATCAGAGCATAAAATCCTCACTTATAGTATAATTTTCTGTTAACAAATAATAACATTATTTTCAAGTGCTGGCAGGCACGGCTGCAATGCAAGGTCTTCTTTTAGGGGGGGTAAACCATCTAATGTCTTCTTTCGTTGCGGATCAGAGTCTTGAATGTAATTGTGTGGTAATTGGTTCTCGCTTCTTGCTTATTACATTAGAATACGTTAAGATATTTTGGTTTATCCGTGAAGCAAATACTTATAAGAAATCATCCAGAATTTTCTATAACAAAAAGCCAATAAAAGTTTAATGAAATCGACATTTAATTCTAACAGCTACATTCGACCTATTTGTTGGAAAACTTGAAACCAGAGAGAGAAAAAAAAGGAACAAACGCAGAAGTTCCAAGGCGAGGCGGCGTCCTCAATCGAACGTCGAGTTCGCTTCCGGTGGAGCCTACTTCCGCCCCCGCGACAGTTCCGCTACACTTGTATAACATACTACGTTGAATTAACTTGCCAATTGTACAAATAATAAGTATTTCCTATACATTTTCTGTTCAATAAAAAACTTATTATTTTTTATATTGCCATCATTTATTTAGTTTTGCATTTGGTTTTATTGAGGTTTCCATTTTAAAACGATAGCGGCTCATCACTACACATTATAAAACAAAGTTGCTTTATCTATCCTACCCCCGGATCTTGATGCGGTTTGTTTGATTAAAGAGGAATGTTTATATGTTTGATGATAACATCCATTAAATAGTAGTGACATTTAGTATCGGAATTGCACCCGTGCAAAGCCGCGGGCGTTGCTAGTGAGCTATAGACTCGTCACCCTGTTTTACATGACAAAAAGCTTTTATGCCCATCTTTTTACAACTGTCTTTCCTTAAGTATCTTCCATAAATCTCAGTTTACCTCTTGGAAGAACATCAAAAATTATATTTACCTTTATATGTTACCAAATATGAAAGTAAAACTCACTCCTGAAGTACCATTACACGCTCTCCCACAAATACTGTCAACGTTTGACGTTGAGACACTTAGCGCCCTCTTGTAGTCCTTTGGAGTGAACACAACGGACCAAGGACGCTGGAAGGTCGCCCGTGAGGTTGGCAACTGATGTCGGCTCTAATAAGTCTGATGGTTCTCGGATGATTATAAGATCTAGGTATATGCATAGATTTCGTTTATACCAAAAAATCCATGTTTGAATATATTCCACAACGGAGAAACGTTTCAATCCATTCACTTCAGAAGTCTTGTTCACAATGTCTGAATCACCAGTTCAAAATTAAGCTCGTAATTTAAATGCTTAGGTGAGGGGCAAGTTTAACGTGAACTTGTTGTACTAAAAATTATTAAACATAAGACAAATAATTATATTTAATATAAAATATAAGTATTTGTCTTGTACACATATGTATGTATGTATACAAGACGAATCGAACTTCGAAATTTCTTACCCACTTCGAAATCGTAAAAATATACTTAAAATATCACCTACGCCTGTCTTTACTTTTAAACAGACTGCGAACTTTTAAAACTAGCCATGTTTTTCACGAAAGATTCAAAAATTTCAAAGAAAATTTTAACGAAACTTAAAACAACAATATTCGTTACTTTGATGTTGGACAACTTTCCTAATCTCATTAATGATATAAAATTATAATTACTTTGCTCTGGTGTTTTGTTTCCACAATACTATCGCATTTCTAACATTAACAAGGAAACTTCTGCTGTTATGTTATTAATAAACTGATATTTTTCAAGGTATTTCAATTAGGGGATATTAACAATGAGGTATATTAGTTGTCCCTGCTTTAAAGAGGATGGTTCCTAGTTGTTATTCCATGTCATCATCAAAGTCACCTTCAGAGAGGCAGTAAATATTACTTATAGCTTTAATACTTACTGCCTCCTTCTGCTTTACCTGTCCCTACCCATCTACGGTAACAAATAATTGCGTTTTAATGAAGTAATGCAATTACACTTAGAACTATGTAGTTGTGTCATAGAAAAAGCAAGACGACGATAAGCCAAATTAGGTCCTTTGCTGACATCACTACTGAACCGAGTGGACCGATAGCAATATCTTGGGAAACAGATAACTGCACAGTATAACACATATAACAAAGCTGGTCCCTAGTTCCCTACAATATGATCAAATCAACATAGTTAGGTGCTTCAAAGCTTTGGCCTCAATCTCGTCTCGAGCCTACCATTGTGGCATTTGTAGCCACTAGTAATCTTATTGCGTCTGTAGTCGATCCTACACACAGAGTCTAGTGTACCTCTACTGATACGTTCAGGATCGATTTGATAGAATTATTATCAATTAAGTACTTACTGGTCATTGTTATTTTCCACTTCTTTTCTTCCAAAAACAAGCAGTACAAAAATATGAAGGAAAATAGTAATATTATGTCGTATTATATATTTTCACTTTCTGTTAAATTATGATGTTACTATTTGTTAAAAAGTATTACCTATCAAGGTGTGCTCAATCCCTACTTCTATCAACAATATGCATATTTTAACGCTTCAGAAAGTAAAGTGTCATGTACCTATCTATAAATATTAAAATATGTGTTCAATTTCTGATTTGATAGACAACACGTCATAAGAAATAATAGTAGAAAGCTTGAGGTACTTTACTGGTTTGACAATAAAAAAACATTTTTAAGGAACTACTTCACTCATATGAATAAAATCACATCACGTTCCTAATTATTTCCCTGTGAGTTTTTTATTTTGTCTCATTTACCAAAGCTCTAAGTATGGAACCTAAAATAACCAAAATTTGTGTATTTTTTCAGAGAAAGGCATGTACCTGGGGTCGCCGTGCGAGTTTACCTGCAACCCCAAGCTCATGCACGTGTACTGCGACCCCACGACGGCCTCCTGCCAGTGTGACCCCAAGCACCCGGTCGCCGTCGGCGTGGCCCAGGGATGCGCTAAAGGTATTTTGACGATAAACGCTGAAGCCTGCTGAAGCTTCAAAAAATCAAAAGACCATTAAAGGCAGTGAAGTCAGTCGTTTTAACCATATCTAAACATATTGGTAACTACAATATTTTTAGAAAACTGAAAGCGGAAAACGATTTGGCAGAAGCTTGTGGAAAATTTTATTGTTATCGAAAAAGTTACTCAGTAAAATCAAATTAATAACGATTGCGAACCAAAGGACGACTTGTATTACTTAAACTTTGTTAATATAATATTGACTTTTCTGAGATAGATTACAATCCTGTTTTCCATAATTTACAAGACACGTTTCAAAATATTTATGACATACGTGAAATAAGAGAAACAATTGCACGAGTTTGACATAGTATATCGATGTTATTGACTTCAATATAACAATGTTGCCTTTCATTAAGTTATAAACAAAAGCGGTTTTGACATTTGATACCACGTGTTCCAATAAAACCTTCGTAGTCCAGGGTCACAAGTCTGCAATGGAAACCTTAAATGTATACAGGGCTGGAACAAAATCATTCTATCGGTCCCATTATTTCCATCCAAGCTTTCAAGGTCCCCTTTTATCCCTTTTGTAGCAAGTTACGTTGTTCAAAACTTGTGAGAACAAGTGATAGACCAAGTTTTACAAGTATATTACGTTTTGTCGGATTCTGTAGGAAAATTCGCAGTTTTATTTTATTTTATCGGCAATTCACTTTGTTTTAGTTAGTGAGAAGGGTAATGACGGATCGATTTATTAATAATTTCAATTGAGTTTAGCACGGGAATGTCATGAATCGATAAATATGTGAGAGATAAATCCAAATTTCACCAAACATTGCCATTTTCAGTAATATTATCTCACAGTTTATCCTAACAGTCTATAGCAATATCACTCAGAAACTCCTTTTACTTTCTGGACATCATTGAAGCCTTCTACACTATACTCATTTACCTTTCAGCTAAGAAATTGGGTGAACAGTGCTTCTACCGCGAGACGTGTAAGGCATTCGACAGTCACGCGTCATGCGTGCAGGTCAACCACAATGCGTACTGTCAATGCGACTCCGGCTACCATCAGACCAGCCACACCAGGCCAACCACGAGGATATTTTGCACCGAAGGTAATTAAGCTGTTTTGAAGCGACATCTTGTTTACTATGGAGGTATAAAATAATCATCTTTACTTAAAATTCGTTAGGCACATACTTAGTTAAAGACAAGACTTCGACAAAAAGTTCAGAGTTCGATCTTACAGTAGACTAAAACCTTCATCTTTCAGATCTGGTGTTGCTGACGGCCGACATGCCGACGCTACTGGGCGTGGCGTCGGGTATCTTCGTGCTAGCCGGCCTACTCTGCATGGTGCTACACCTGTATACCAAGGCGCGCTACCACCCCACGCATCTGGCCGACGCGAGGCTCACGCCACCTTGTCTGTACTCGCTTAACGATACAGGTCAGTCCGATTTAAGCACAAAATTGTGCTAAAATTTGTTATATAACCTGTTTGAAGTTAAAATTCAAGGTCTATTAAAGTAATTGCTACTAATGAAGGCACAAATATAAGTGAAATAAGCTATCGTACGAGTTCGATTTCACTCTAAAGTATTAGTATTTAGTGCCAGTGATAATGCACAGTAGGCTCTTGTATTTAGCGTTTACGTATGTGCTGCACGAGGTTCTATCTGCAGGAGGCACGCTGAGCGGTACTCGCGCGTCGTCGCGCGCCTCTTCGCGCAGCGGCTGCACGTCGGGAACGCTGGACGAGCGCGACGGAGCAGGGTCGCGGCGCGCGTCGCGGCGCGCTGGTGTGGCGGTGTCGGCGTCGCGCGCAGGTGCGGCGCGCACCGCGGCCATCTTGCTAATCTCGCGCCACCTCAAGGCCGTAAGGCGGGACGGCGGCGCGCACCCGCCTAAGTGCGCCGCCAAAGGTGATCTGGATAATGTATGCGGCGCGGTCCCATCATCTGCACGTCTCGGTGTCCGGCTACCGACGGCTCCCGTGCCCAATCTCAATGCAGGCCTGCTCCGCTTCGTCGGGACCTGAAGTATATAAACTACTACACTCCAATGGTACAGAACAATATATTTTTAGGGCGACCAACTCTAAAAGCTCTCACTGATGTGATCTCATTTACAAGGAGGTCAGTTCGGGACCTAGACTGAAATGTACTGACTTTTGACTATAACTGGCCGATTCCTTTTGAATGACTTTGAATGTCGACATCATATGTTCCATACTTCCCGCATGAATGCGGAGCGGTGCAGGCTGCGCATCGAGGCGGGGTCGCGGGCGCATGAGAGGTCGTCGTCGGCCGTGTCCGTTAGATGTTGCGTCTCGGTGTTAGCGACCAGGACTGACTCCAGTCTGCGACTGATCTCCCACAATACCACCGAATATGCTGAATTTATTCCAATTATTTACCGAAACTACCTAAGTTGTTTCATTCTGCATGAATACTGCCCTGCCAACAATGTAGTACCTAGGTACTTCCAACAAGCATCAAGTTTTCCGTTCACGTTTTTTCTACATTTCTTTTTTCAAACTTTATAGGTAGTTAGACCTTCGCATTTTAATACATCCAAATCATAAATCGAAAATTTTGGGCAAGGCAAGTTAACATTATTAAGGTTTACTATTGTTATAAATAGACATTTATTTTCAGAAACTGCAAATAAATCAATTTAAAACAGGAAATATTGCGATATTTTAATGATCAATGTTTATTTAGGTCTTTACTTAATTGTATCCGCAGTGCACCAACAGAATAATTATACCAATTTTCCTGTTTATTTCGTACCTGGTGTTGTGTAGATTCCAATAGCATTTATTAGTTTTATGACCATGCTCTGAATGCTACTGCAGTACAGCAGTCCTTTATTTTCTGAATATCATGAAATGACAATGAAAGCGTTTCTAGTCTCAAAATTTTGGCTATGACACTATCACAACGAGCCAGTTGGTGTACTTGTTCCCTTAGCTGGGTACGAACACACATGACATGTCCCACTTCTCAGCATATTCGGTGGCTGACAATAGTGACGTAAGTACAGCTTACTGTGTGTGAGGCTTTACTTGTGATTGGCTGGGCTTGGTGGTAACGTGGCGCGACAGTCGCAGGATGAAGTGTTTTGGCGGCGCGAGCAAGATGGCCATGGTCCTTTCTGTCTATCTCTTTCCCACACGCCTAATTTGTATGTGCTAACGAAACTGAAGATGAAATAACAAGGGTCGAAGATGGCAGTGATGCCAAAACTATTAAAGTACGTATTTACAAAATTGCTTTACACTACACAGTGCTGCATGGAAGTTGATCGCTTCGACCAATTCCATTTTATATTTTACCTACTAAGTAATTGATGAATGTAACACCAAAATTGAACAAAAATATTTTACGTATACAGCAAAATTGTTTGAACTATACACAAAGTTTTGTTTTCTTTAAATCAACCAGTTAAACATTTAATGCAATCAGCAGGTTCATGCATTGCATTCAGGCAGGAACACGCCACAGTTCACACGCCTCAAGCTGCAACTTTATCTCTGTCACAACAGTCACAGTCTCACAATCACATTTTCTGCGATTGACATACATGTAGTACTGCATCGCAAGCACAATCGGAGGTAGGCGAAAGCTTCAGTTTCATGGGCCCAGCTCCCCTGATGACTTGACTTTCTAAAATCGTTAGGAATGTCAAAAATGTATGATGATGTCATAGAATTTTGACATTGTCAAGTAAATGGTATTAGAAAGTGACATCGTCTACGTGGACAGCACTGCTTTTCCGCTTCAATATCTGTGAACACCTCACTGGCTGTGCATGTCTGCTTCCACTCACTTATCTTTATATGGAGCCCAACATTAGGTACTCTGTCTATCCGTTATGAAAAATAAACTTGACATACAACATCTCTTTGATCCTTTTGTATGGGCCAGTATTCATGACGATGACAAGCAATTACTTCCTCACAATTAACTTTTAAAACAATACTTTAATACTAAAAATCTGACACAAATCAGATGGATATTATTGTTGAAAAACATTCTAAAAATTTGTTATTGAATTTTGCAATTCTGACTTCACGACTTAAAAGGCAAAGATGAATAAGCGGATAAACTTCTCTTGCTTACAAAACTAACCTTAATACCCACCACCTAATAAAACTTTCTACTGAATGTTGTCTCCACAAGTATTTAGGTAAATGTAATTATTTGTGTACATAGTAGCTATTGCTATCCGCTAAGCTATACCTAAGTATTTGTTTGTTTCTACATGTTGTTAATTCTTCTTATACTTACTAAACAAATGCAATATTTAAAATTTCCTCAAAATAAAATGTAAAATAAACTACTTTAACCATAAGCTTCCACATTTATCACAGCTGAAATTTTCAAATTATAACTTTTTGAATAAATAACGAGCAGCAGTCGCTTCTCACCATTCACAGAAGAAACTAAAGAATATGAAATAACTCGCACGCATTACCTGTTACTTTGTGTCTTCAAAGAATTTCTAATGCAATCCTTCTCACTCAGGTTCGCGACGTCCAAGTCTAACTTCTGTGCAAAGCAGTTCATCGTCAATCCGGAGCTACAGCGCGAGACGCTGGGAGAGAGAAAGAGAACAGAAGGAAAGGAGACAGATGAGCATGCGTCTCGCTCAGTTGCACGACAAGATGGCGGCTGGGCGGGAAATACCGAAGCATGCCCCGACCCCGTCTCCTCGGTCGCCCAACAACTCTACAGATGGACTGCTACCGTCTGTATGTGAAATTAGAGAAGTACGATCATTCCTCCTGTCCTTAGTAGTGGAGACGATCAAGTAAGGTTACAAGCTTGTCCTATTTCACGAAGCAATATTTTATGACAAAAATCCAAAAATCTAACGAAGAATACATATTACGAGCAAGTTCCTATTCTTAGTAATAAGTTGTAAAGTCTAATCTTAAGCGACTTCGTGAAGTAGTACATTAAACTACCACACACAGTAACAACGAGTAATGGATGACCCCAACCCCTTATAAGGTAGTCCCTCGTATTTACACGACAACATTTTTGTAACCATATACGTAAATCAAGTTCTGTTTTCCTTTTCACTGATATGACCCAGCTTTAGTAATAAAACCTTTACAGTCATGTTAACTTTAGCCCTTGATATAGTTCCGTAATAACCAATGTGTAGGTACACTATTTGAATCTTCACTAGAAACCCTACCACAACCAAGACCTGCCTATAAAAAAATTATATAAGTAGTCTTTTAAAATTTGGGAAAAGCCTAACAAAACTCTCTAAACCTTTCATTGCAGTTAATTACAAATCCCGAACAACAGTTGCAAGGAGTGGATGGACCGTGTTCCAGCTCCTCGCTTTACTGACACCAAGCCCACGGCAAGACGAGGAGGTCCCTGGACTCCTTGTCATCAGACGGGTCACCGGCCATCGCCTGGATGTAGACCGTCAAACCTCGGAGTGACTGAACTGTAACAAATTACCAAATTAGCTACCCACTAAGAAACGTCTAGTGTATGACCATCGAATGCATGTACATAGAAGAGTGTGTAAGGAACTTAATTTGTAATGATGATGACAAAGACCCTTCATATTCCACGTCAGGCACCGTAAGCCTACGATCCCAGTTGTTGATATTGTAAGTAAACGCTTAATGCTTATAATTAGATCGATGAGTTTCTGGTTGCGTCATATGGTGATTGATACATGATCGATAGAAGATAATTAAGAATTTGTGTAAGTCCAAGAACTGATTTCAATTTCTTTTTTTGTGACGCAGTGAAAACATGAATCTTGTAAACAAAAAAATAACAACTTATCATACTTATGAAGTAGGTTTATATTCCTAATAAATTGTGAAATCAAGCAACACGTGACGTGACCTCGAACATTCCAGAAAATAAAAGTATAAGACTAGTTAATGATAGTGTTGTAATTTAATAAAAAGTTGTTATAAGCGCATTTATATGATTTGTATCGGTTAAACGTGAACCTCTAGATTTATAGGTAAATGTACGCAATAAGTTGATGTTAAATCGAGTTCGAGATATATATTGATTTGTTATTTAATATTATTATTATATGCGTGGAACGAGCGAATTGATTTATGTGTTTATATACTTAAAAATAAATCACCAGATTATTTTTAAACATATCGTTTTATATAAATATGGTATCGACTGTAAGAAACGGCTATAATACTTTTTATATTATCTACTTTGTACTAATGTACCTGATTGTTGTTTCCGTTAATGTATACCTAAGTGACTTCAACGCATCGTTTTGTTTGTGGACAACCATAATAGCGAGACTAGGATAAAAAAATGTCATGATCAAAGTCTGTAACACGGTTTCTTCCCGAACTATCCGACAGGAATCGATCAACACATATTTGTCATCGGTTGAAAATCAATCAATGGGAAAGTCGGGCCGGAGAGCGAATATTGGCCGGCTAGTTTGATAATTAACCGTGTTACTGGATTTATTTGGTAATCGTGTACATTTAAGGTAATATAGATATGGAGTGGTTGCGATGTGGCTCCGGCCAGGCCTTATAGTTCAGGAAACTGGAACACGGAAGTGTGCTGATTGATAATGCATAGAAACAAAACATTTTGTACTCGTAATGTAAATAAATAGTTTGAGAAATAGTTAATTTAGTGTTCGCTTGCTGAAGTTGGTTGTCTGACACTGTCTGCTTACTCTAAGTACTTACACTTACCCAAAATATTGTTTTGATACGATCATAGTTTAAGACGAAACGCACATCCTGATATAATAGGTCTAAAGAAACCTTCCGCAAACTAATTACTTATTTTTTAGAATTCCGTGGATGATTGAACACTTAATGTGGAAACCAATGAACATCATGACGGCTTTTGATCAGTCAGACTCCCAAAGACCTCTCCGACTTCTCCTAAGCGAACTTCCAATTCTATAAGTCTCCAAGTCAGTTTATCGTGCTGAAAATCCTGTGGTATACTTCGACGTTTAATTATACATATACATATTCTGTTTTCATCTTCCTTACACTGTTTAAGAAAATGATAGGTAGGATAATTGAATCTAATTCCTGTTTTCATCGAGAACCGAATAAACAGCTTTGTGTTGGCGTGCGTTCGTGCAGCGGAATGTTGTTGAATTTAAAGATTTTAATTATGCAGATATTTAGTGTATGACGTCGTATAATTGTGTATGGTAAAAAAAAATTTGTGCACGCAACCATTATGGAGAAATTCACCAAAAACTGATTCCGCTGGGCGAACGTTGTCCTGGCGGAACTTTTTTTAATCCATAGACTTTAGAAGAAAAGAGATGTATCCAAAAATTAGTGTGTATTTGTGTGTAATTGTGTATGTATGAATAAAACTAGTGCATGCATAAACTTCGGAGAAATTCAAGTTTCCGCTACGCGAACGTTTGGCCATTAGCTAGTTTTCATATAAAGCGCTTACATAGAAAGCTGTAGATTTTTATATACGTTGTTTTGAATTTGTTTATATTTGTTTAAAAAACAGATTGAGAAAAAATCGTAGGGTTTAAAAGATAAAAATATAAACGTAAAATACGCTTATTAGGTCGTAGTTCTTAAAGTATGCACTTTGGGGTCTAGATTTTCACGTTTATACAAACCTTGTAAGTGTCTGCAACATGTTGCCAAGTATCAATGATGTTCCGTTAGTAATTAAATAGTTATAGGACAAATTTACCATGAATAGATCACTGTTTACAAAGCAGTCAAATATCACGACGTTCTAAATGAATTGCATGGTAAAATGTATGCCAATAATTAGTGTATTCATTCAACAATTCACATGCAAAATTTCATGTCATTAAATTCAGTAATTAAAGAAAAACAATTATAATAATGACGAAGTATCGAAAACCTACATAACCCGACCAAGTTCGGATGGCTACAAAAAAGCGGCTGTTCAATATATTTAGGTAACATCCCAAAATTTACAGTATAATACCGGTATTGAATTGGTACAGGTGATAACACACTTGTTGTTTCGAAATAATTTATAGGTCATTTATTTTTGGACACCTACTTTTTTAAATGTATTTGACTATGACAGAAAGTAGGTACTATTTACGTAGGTACTTTATTTAAGTATGCGCTTGAGATTTGAGATATAATCTAATTATATTTAAGACAAATAAAATTCATACAGCTAATTTCTATTGAAGATTTCACGGATCAGGATTCTAACTATAGACCCCTTAGGGAAATTAAATATTTACCACATGTAAGTACTTAAGTACTACTGTTTAGGTAAATATTTATCATATTGTAGCTTATTACACTATTTAACCAATATTTTTTATTACACTATTTAACCAATAGAGGCATGCACGAGCGTGTGTACGATACTGTGTTTAATTTTTTCCTAACGCTTGTGTACGATAATGTACCATATTAATAAATGCTATATTGGAAAGTTAAGAACGTTTCTTAGATATATGGCACGGCCGCTTTTTTGTAGCCATCCGAAATTGGTCGGGTTATGTAGGTTTTCGATGCTTCGTCAGTATTATAATTGTTTTTCTTTAATTACTGAATTTAATGACATGAAATTTTGCATGTGAATTGTTGAATAAATACACTAATTATTGGCATACATTTTACCATGCAATTCATTTAGAACGTCGTGATATTTGACTGCTTTGTAAACAGTGATCTATTCATGGTAAATTTGTCCTATAACTATTTAATTACTAACGGAACATCATTGATACTTGGCAACATGTTGCAGACACTTACAAGGTTTGTATAAACGTGAAAATCTAGACCCTAAAGTGCATACTTTAAGAGCTAAGACCTAATAAGCGTATTTTACGTTTATATTTTTATCTTTTAAACCCTACGATTTTTTCTAAATCTGTTTTTTAAACAAATATACACAAATTCAAAACAACGTATGTAAAAATCTACAGCTCTCTATGTAAGCGCTTTATATGAAAACTAGCTAATGGCCAAACGTTCGCGTAGCGGAAACTTGAATTTCTCCGAAGTTTATGCATGCACTAGTTTTATTCATACATACACAATTACACACAAATACACACTAATTTTTGGATACATCTCTTTTCTTCTAAAGTCTATGGATTAAAAAAAGTTCCGCCAGGACAACGTTCGCCCAGCGGAATCAGTTTTTGGTGAATTTCTCCATAATGGTTGCGTGCACAAATTTTTTTTTACCATACACAATTATACGACGTCATACACTAAATATCTGCATAATTAAAATCTTTAAATTCAACAACATTCCGCTGCACGAACGCACGCTTGTGTTGGGAATATTCCCATTGCTATACCTATGATATGAATAAAGGTGCTTATCCTTTGTATTACCATGATTGTGATTTTAACCTTTTACTGTGTGGTCGTAAAAGTATTTTCACTACAACCTAGTGAGTCTAAAAAGAGTTTTCCTTCGAAAGCAGACAGTGAAAGATATATTCAATAAAATTCGATCAAATTATGTAATCGTGATAATAAATTGTAGTCATTTAAAAAGTATCCCGTTGTTTTGTAATAGCACAAACTGAAGGCGGTTCTAACAAATAATTACTATGGATTCGACGTCGGATATGTTGTGTTATCGCTGTTTGCATTGCCAAAATAAAATGTCAACTGAAACTGTGTTTTGTTTTATTGCCGCAGTACCCAAGCAGGCATAAACAATGCTACTGATTGCATCAATTTTCTGGAGGCTCACGTCACCACAGAACTGGTTTGAATGGACAAGGACTTTCCTCGAATGTATGTGTGAATGAAATCAGACAGCGTATTTAACAAAGAATTGATTTTTATCAGCTGTCTAGCTATGTTATTAGGATATTCTACACCAGCCGGGGTTGCGGTACAAGCGCAGTGTGCCCCGGCCTGATGCAGAAGAAGAAACGGGGTGGCTTTGAATCAGTAAAACTCTGACACGTCTTCTCGCCCCGACCAGGGCAGGAAAAGGCATTGAAAGACTTCCCCTTTAGAAAAGGGTATTCCTCAAAATTAGAACACCAAACTTCTTAGAGAAAAATAAATATACATATAGATTGCGAGAACAGAAATCCGCACTCTTCAGCAATCTCGTTCTTACTCACTGGACCAACGCGACAGTCTTAAAATATAAATAGATAAAACATATCTACACTTCTTATTAATAGAATTCTACGTCTGAAGTGTGTTTATTTATATCTTGAGTAACGTGGACAACCGAAGAAGGGCTTCAGTGATCTTCTCACTTACGTCAAGTGGTGACGTCATCCATCGCCGCCCTTGTCAGGACTTCATGCTGGCTAACATCCAGCATTCGTAAAGTTTGTTTACAAATTATATTGTTTTTGCTATCCACGTCTACATTCTGACACAGCGAATGACAACTTTTTTGGCCAACCTAAAAATAATTGTGTTATTTTGTAGGAAGAAGTCAAGAACCTTCTACTGTGCTAATACCCTCAGTACACGAATATAGACCAGGTATTAAGAAGTTTATATGTTTAGTTTCGGTACGAAGTGATGTTTCTGGAATTTACACAAGTATCCATATCACAATTTTATTTTGGGATTAGACTGTTTCATTACGAATGTAGTCTGAATAAAAATTGCTGCCTCAGAAAATTTTATTGATTGTAGTAGACGAACTTGAAGTTGGTAATATAGTGCTCGATGAGAGGAGGAACGCATCTGTCCCTCCTGTCAGAAGAATTATCATAGCTAGTCA